AGTGGAGCAAAAGATATAACGTCCACTCACATTCTTTATGTGTGTTTTATTGGATTTTTGTGGGAAAGGAGGGACACTGGCATGTTTCTCCTCAGCTATTATTCAAACAGAATTGAATTATTTTTACTTTTTTACTTATTTAATTTACCCTCTCCCAAGGACATGCTTATTGCTTTTGGAGAGAGGGAAATGGAGGGAGTTGGAGAGGGAGAGAAACATTGACTGGTTGCCTCTCATCTGCACCCCAACTGGGGACCAAGCTGACAACCTAGGCATGTGCCCTGACTGGGAATCAAACCCACGATGTCTCAGCCAACTGAGCCACACCAGCCATGGTTGAATTATTTTAAATAAAATTTTTAGAATAAAATGCCAAATTTTACTGTACTAGAAAACTTTTTTTACTGAATAACCTTGATCCCAACTCATTCTATAGAAAATGGGATTTTACTAAACAAATTACTTCCAATGTCACATTTTCTGCCTAATAACTGCAAATGTCTAAAATTTTAAGGAAGCACTATAATTTACAATAATTCTAGGCCAAAGTAATATTTGTAGAGGATCCAGATGCATGGAAATAAAATAAACCAAAGAAGCCATTTAATCATGGTTTGGGTATCATTTTGCTGACAGCCATCAGTTGAGACTGTCACATACCCCTGGAATCGGGGGCTGTTAGAATTCTTCACTTTGATATGGCCCTTTCATGTAATTGTGTTTGATATTTTAACAGAAAGTACTTAGGTTCACATGCATGTGTGTATTGATTATTGATACCCCCACATTACATTATTACTCGTGCATGGTTTAGTTCTGATTCTGTGTACAACCTGATTTGCATACCCATATTATCATATAGATATTTACAAATACATAACCGTGAACAGATATTTTCCCTGCTCTTTCTTACTTGACTAAGAATATCAACGATGTCCCCAGATGCTCTTCTGAAGGTTGGTGTAGTCGCATGAGCAGAACCCCGGGCTCCACTGTCAGATGGGATCAGTTCTATACAGTGCACTCATCTTGTGGTGGTCTTTCTGCCGCAGAAGTGCAGATGCGTGTTACTCATCAAGGCAAAATGTCAATGTTTAGTGATTATACAATATGTTTTTGTTAATTCCCCAGATGGGATTTTTTTTAACCTTTGTTTATTTGAGAACAGCTACTGCCTCCTGAAATGCAGGGGCTGGCGCCAGCAATCGGAGCCTTCATTAGTACAGATGAAGCAAGGCTCATTTGTTACACAAATAATTAGAGAGATTAAATGAAAATAAACACTGAGAGGATGTACAGAAGCTCTAAAGTGAGGTAATCATTTTAATTACTCTAGTGATTTCCACCAACCTTCATTATCAGCCACACATCAAGTTTAAATTGTTCTAGGGGAACGTACTAGAGCTACCCAGTGATTATGCTTCATAAAAATGACATTTCTTCAAGCTTCCATTTAAAGGAGTTGTTTCTATTCCAGCACCTAGTAAATTATCTAAATATTTTAAGGATGATAAAATCTTGCACTTAAAACAGTTTAACCCTCATATGCTTCAAATGGACAGTCTTAATAATTTTTGTATTTTGATATCTTTACTGACATTTGATCATAAAAGTTGTGGGTCCACATTTTTGAGACACTCACTAAAACATTATGGCATATTTCAGTAGTTTGAAATAAATTCCCCTCAGAATCTTATCACCCTTAGTGATGACAAGCTGCACCTTTTCTTTGGAGTAAATTGATTTACTCGTTCTTCCCTTTCCTACCTCAAACTGGAAAAACTCTACCACACACAGTAACACCTTCCTGACCTGTGGGAGCCCTATTTAGAGGCATGGTCAGTCCTGTTTAGAATGGATTTCATTTTATATTCTTAGGCGATGATGATCCTGCAAGATCTCCTAAGATCTTTAGAGGACATGCTACTTGTATTTAAAAAGCATTTATTGATTGCCCTCACAATACCAGCTCTTCTGTAAAATACTATACCTAACTCATCCTATTTAGTCCTTACAGGATTCCCATGAAGTATGTATTATTTTCTCCATTCTCCAGATGAGAAACTGAGGCTTTGAGAAGCTCCTTGACTTCCCCAAGTTGCCTAAGCAGCCCAGCTGGGAATCAAACCCAGTTCTGCCAGACTGCAAAACCAGGATGCCCCCAAGGAATGACTGAATGAGGAAGACCTGTATTCGAATGCTGACTAAGGATAATAGAAAAGATGAAGTGATCGCATGATGTGGATTACTAGTCATGTGTTGTGTTGCATGACACCTGGGAATTCTGGGCACCAGTTAAATCTCAAATTCCAAAATTTGATTGAGTTTGAAAGTGTCTCATCTCTGAACAGCCCTGATTGCTGAAGAAGAAGCAATTAGGAAGTAGGTTTTATGGTGTAGTGGGAATAACTAAGTGTTCCCTACTAACAAGGTTAGTGAGGCTTTTTAATGCCATTCAGTAACCACTCGAGCTTTGCTCCAGCTAACACACAAGGCATTTCTCTTCAACTACATCAACGTGTCTGGCAGCATGCACGAGACTTCGGTAATCTTTGTGGGCTGCTTTCTAATAATCAAGAAAAGCCTTTACTAAATTCCATTCCCTTCCTCCTTCCCCAAGAAGGAGGACATGTCTTCTGAGGGCCAACCCCAGGCCTAACAAGGACACATTTATTCTGAGGTTGTGTTATACAGGGTGTGGCAAAAATAGGTTTACAGTTGTTGATATGGAAAATAATACAATAATTAATAAATAGCAATGCAAGAATAAACTCTAGGTTCTGCCAATTCACAAATGTAAACCTTCTTTTGCCCCAACCTGTGTTCACAGGCCCACTGGCTAGCGCAGAATACATGAAGCTGTCTAGTGGATTCCTCGTTTTCTGTGTTTAGGGTGTACTAATCTGCGGAGTTTAAGTATGAGCTGTGGGTAACCCGGGGAGGTCGGGACAGAAGACTTGTCCTTGCGGGGGTCCCGAGGGAGTGGCGCTGTTAAACCTGTACATTTCACTCTGAGGGGAAAGTAAGGGAAACTCGCATATGCGCCAGCACCGGATGAAAGGAGGGCGCAACGAGGGTAGGGCTGAGAGGCTGAGAGGCCCAGGATGTCAGGAAGGCTGGAAGGGCATCCGCCCTCACTCAAAAAGCGCAACCGGAGAAATTTACTTGTGAGCAAGACAGAGGAAGACAGATAACTGAGGGAAGATGGACTCAGGAATTATCATAGGCTGAGGAGGCTGGGGAGAAAAGGCTGTCTTGCTGCTTTGCAAGCACCTCCCTGGGACGTGACCATGGTACGTGGCCTCTCTTCTGTCTTCCTGGCACCTACATTACAGGCAGCCAGGGACTCAGCTAGTAGGCCTGCTAGACTGAAAAAGTCCCAACTAAGCACCAACGGTTTACTAGTCATCTTCCAGACATTGTCACAGTTCTACACATCAATGCTTACATGGGCAGGAGGGCCAGCTCTTCCCGGTCGGCTGGGTCCGACGGGATTTCTCCAGGCCTCGCACAGGGGAGGCCACTGGCTGCACCCGGGGAACCACGTTGCATTTTCACTTGGCTGCTTAACATTGACCTCGGAGAAATCACTTTAAACTCTGAGCCTCAGCTTCCTCATCCACAAAATGGAGGTGACTCGACTGCCCAGACCCCCGTGAAAGGATCGTTTGGAGGGTCAAACGGAATACTTCCTATGGCAGCAAACTCCGAGTAACTGTGATTCCAAATTACCGAAGAAACACAAGTAAAACATATTCAAGTGGAGTTTCAGGAATTTCCCCCACTGATCTAACTGCAGCCAGGCAGCAACCGTTCGGATTGATTCTTTCTTAAGAAGGCTATCTCACAAGTCAAACACCTTTGTCGGCCCCTCTCGGTCTGTCAGGCCTTCCAGCGATTTCTGCCATTCAGTGAAAGCGCTTTTTGTTGCCGCTGTTGGGCACACCCCTAGCAAACCAATCCCGCAGCTGGTAGCCAAAGAATCCACTGCCCTCTCCCGCCTCTAGGTCTCCCCAGTTTTCTGCGCGTGAATGGGTTTTCCTGGCTTATCTCCAAAAACCCTGCAGTATTTCAGAAAGCTGGGAGCGCACAGAGATGAGCAGAAGAGCATCATCCCCCTTCCCGGGGTCGTGCGCCCTCGGGGACCCGCCTCCCTTGTCTCCTTCGGTGGTGCAGCAGCCGCCTCCGGAGCTAGCTCGCGGGGGCCGTCAGCGCCAGACCCGGCGGAGAACCGGGCCCCCTCCCCACTTGCCTCTCGTAGCCCCTCTCCGCCAGTAGCAGCGCTGCTGTCTTCCCACGGGAGGACTGGGAGGACGCCGGAGTCCGCAGCGCCCCCGCCCCCTCGCTTTTTCTTTCTTTCCCTGGTTTGGGATCTTGCTGCCAGAGCCTGGAGAGGTTCTGAGAAGAGCAGAGCGAGGGACAGGAGTGCAGGATTCTGCTGCAGCGCGGGAACGGAGCTGGGGTCCTGCATCTCAGGCGTCCCCTCCTGGTCCTCGCTGCCCCGGCTGGGATGTGACCAGGGAAGCCCTAAGCGCCTGCCTCCAGCCCTCGAAGGTGTCCCGGAGAGCCCACGGTTGGAGTCCCTTTGCACGCAGGGCGCGGGACGGAAGCGGCGAGGCGGCCCGCCGGGGGCCAGCTCCCCGTTCCCACTCTTCGAAGAGAGCGCAGTAGGAATCGCCGTCTTCCGGGCGCTTGACACAACTCTGGGGTAGCAGCGCGCAGCTGGACCAAGTCTCGCTTCCCGCCGACTCACCCGGAGTGCGGGGCAGCACCTGCCCTCCTGCCTGCACTCCCTGTAGCCCTAGCTCCTTGGCACCTGCGCCTATCCCCCACGCCCAGGCGCTGAAATCGCGGCTCCCGGACCCCGCAGCGTCGCCCGACCCTATGGAGAGCGCGCGGGCCGCAGCTCCTTGAGCGCGGGCGCCGTCGCCGTCCAAACTGCGCGCTGGGGTCCACCGTCTGGCCCCTCTTAGGGGCGTCTGGGAGGGAAAGAGCGCACCATGAAGTCCGTGCTGTTCAGCCGCTTCTTCATCCTCCTGCCCTGGATCTTAATCGTCATCATCATGCTCGACGTGGACACCCGCAGGCCCGCGCCCTCGCTCACCCCGCGCCCCTACTTCTCTCCTTACGCCTTGGGCCGCGGGAGTGCCCGACTCCCGCTCCGCAGGGGTGGCCCGGGACGCGGATTGGAGAAGCGCAACCAGTCGCGGCCACAGCTACAGCCTCAGCCGGAGCCTCCTCTGCCCACCATCTATGCCATCACTCCCACCTACAGCCGCCCGGTGCAGAAAGCCGAGCTGACCCGCCTGGCCAACACGTTCCGCCAGGTGGCGCAGCTGCACTGGATCCTCGTGGAGGACGCGGTGGCGCGCACCGAGCTGGTGAGCCGCTTCCTGGCGCGGGCCGGCCTGCCCAGCACGCACCTGCACGTGCCCACGCCGCGGCGCTACAAGCGGCCGGGACTGCCGCGCGCAACTGAGCAGCGCAACGCCGGTCTCGCCTGGCTGCGCCAGAGACACCAGCACCAGCATGCGCAGCCCGGCGTGCTCTTCTTCGCCGACGACGATAACACCTACAGCCTGGAGCTCTTCCAGGAGGTAGTGGCCGGCCCTCCCCAGCTTGGGGGCAAGGGCGGGAGGGGGGCCTCGGTGGTCGGCCCGGGTGCGGCTGTACTTTGGCGTTATCACTTCTCAGTGCACTCTTTTAGGACTCCAGGTGGAGCGCTCCTCGCAGGCACCCTCAGCCTTGTCGTCCCTGGCATGCTTCCCTGGCCAAAGGGGTGGGGTTTCGGGTGAGGGACAGGGACTACTGCGGACTCAAGGGAGGAAGTCTGGCCAGGGGCTTTGCTCTCTGCCTGGCCCCAACATCGGGCGGAGAGAGTAGCACAGTTGTGGGGCGCGGGAATGATTTCCAAGAACAGGATCTGGGTGGCCTGAGGGTGAAGCTCAGATGTAGAGGGCGGTCAGGGTCGGCTTGGTTACTCCAGAGGCCTTTCAGCAAACAGGTGTGACTGGGATTCTAGAACCATACGGAGAGGAAGGTGGAGATGATTATTAAAAATCAGCCCAGAGACAAATTTCTCCGGCACAGTCCATTGGCATGGAAGTGATTATTAGTGAAAACGGTGCCTTCTAGGGGGTCCTCCCTCTGTTTCTTCTGCCACCCCACAAAAGGCCTTTTCCACTCTGCAGACTACCTCTTTTTCAAGGAAACCCTTTGGCAAATGACTTGAGACTGTTCTGGCTTGAGACTGCTCTGCTTGAGACTGTGGTTATGTTACTTTCACAGTCAGAGCTACCAGGTGCACTGTCCAGTTCCTTTTCTCCACCTTCCTCGAAGGCCTGTCTCTTTGGTGAGTTAGCTAGTCCACTCTTGCATGGTGCCATTCCATCCTGATGCTCGCCACGAGGTCCTGGGTGCAGTCCAGCCCCAGCTGTTGAAATGGTCTTATTTTCCTTTGGAAGGCCATACGTGCACACAACCAGCCGGCACCGGGTTAGAACAGGTGTTATTTTTTGAGACTGGTATGTTGTGGTCTGTGTGTGTATTCTGCAAATGAGACTGAGTTACATGGTTATTTTTTTCTTCAGTTTTCTTCTTTATACACAAGTATAGCTGAAAAAAATCTTGGATTCTTTGACATCCTGTGGGGCCATTGCCTTCCTCTACCCAAAATTCCTTGACATCTCCTGCCTCTGAGACTCCATCGTCCCCCCTACCCCACAGCTTCCCCAGGTAAACTAGATAAGCTGTGTGTCTAATAATCATATATGCCCCACACCCTCATCTTAACATCTGTTTGGCTTTTTTAACCTCAGGACAAAGCTACTCTGTACACTTCCAGTTTAATTTTTCTGCCTATGTGGCTTTAAAAAAATCCATTTCTTAAAGGCAGTTGCTGCCTCCATTTCTATTCATCCTCTTCTTCGTGAATAAAAGGACCAGTAATTGCTCTCCATCTTTTCTCCTCTATCCTTTCAGGATGTAGGGCTTTCTGTTCATGTTTCTTCAGAAGAAAAGAATATATGGTATAGACTTCATTATAACCAAGATTAGAAATATCATCTGATGTTTTTAATTTGGGCTTTTAGTTTTCCTCTTGTGTACTCTCTCTCCCAAAAGATGTGGTTTGTATTCTGAAGCACAGACCGTTCCATGTCAGTTCACCATAATTTAAACCCACTTTTCTCCTACAACTGGGAAGCTGCCTTACCTGGGAAAATTCGGTCTTGTGTATGTAAAGTAATGCATATCATTACTAATTAACCTTTTAGGGGGCTGAGCTGTGACAGGAGAGTGATTTTCAGTGTATCCCCAGCTGCTAGCCCCTTCTGTGAGATGTTAGATAAAGGGGAAGGAAGAGTTGGCACTACAGAAATAAAATTATTCAGAACAGTCTTCCTTTGATGCTTCCCAAACTGAAAGGAAGGCTTGTTGGTGGTGGATGTTAAACAGCAAGAGAAGAATCCAGTATTTTTTTTCTTTCCCATTGGTCCATAGGAGGAAAAAAGAGAGAGAAGATATAAGAAAGGAGAGGATGAGGAGAAAAAAATAGTAGTGGCCAGAGGAAACTATAAAGGGAAAAAGCAAAATTTTCAAGTGCTAAAATTGTGTACAGTTGGAAGTAGTGAAATAAAGAGAATAAAAATTAAGAGCACATGCAACTTTTTTTTAATGTCAAGGTACCAAGTATACAAAATACACAACAAGCAATTTTTTAAGCACAATATGCACAATACACTTAGAATTTAAATTCTACAACTCCTAGAGGCCCCTTGCAGATTGTAATTTTATGATCAGTCCCTTTGTCTACCAGCATCCTCCCTCCCTCCCACACGATGTGTTTGGACAGAGTAGACATCTGGATGCCTGTATGTCAGCACTTTCAGTTTTCCTCTTTACAATACATTCTTTCCTCTCAGGGCAGGCAATACTGAACCCTCCAAAAAGTCAGATTCATAGAATTTGTGCACCCTTAGATTTATGCATTAATGGGATGGCCTCCCCTAAACCATTTCTAGAATTAATGATTCCATGTGGATTACAGTGTAGACACTGCCCTCTTGGAGAAAAGGTAGGAGCAGATAAAACGTCTACACTCTGAAGCTCCTTGGGAGAAGGGGAGATGCTGATCAGGGATGCTGTCGGGCTGAGGTCCATATCTCACCCCTGTGTGTGGGCACACACACAGATCAGTTTTTAAGTAAGTCACAGCCCTTAAGGAAAGAATGTCCCGAGTCAGTCTTCATCTTTTATTCATAGCGCTTCTAATTTCCGTGGTTGATGTAAACGCAGATAACATAGGAGGAAAATGAACCAGGTACAAAATTAGCTCACTAAGCATTGGTTGCAAATGAAGGAAAGTAAAAGATGAAAGGTCTCCAAATTAAATTAAAGGCGCAACAGGCAATCCATGTTCAATTATTGCTCTGTGGTAACTGGCATGGCGCTTGCGTCTCCCATACTGCTAACTAATTTTCAGCCAACACTTTCAACCGAGTTGAGCTGCTAGGAAAGAAATATTTGGGTTGAATGATTCCTACATTGACAGCCAAATCCATTTGCAAATGAAGCCCAGTGTGAGTTGCAACCACAGAAACTGGGTCAGCCTTTGGAGAAAACAGTGGTTGGGGCTTTTTTTCAGGTTTCCAGTATCTCAAGAACTACTGCTCTTGCTGTGGCCTTGATGGGGCTGTGCACTCTGGATCACAGGTAATCCTGCCTGCCTGTGCACCTTGTCAGTCCAGCTCTCGGAAAAAGCTTATTTGCAAAGGATTGAGACTGCTTTCATAAAAGCAACAACAGAGAAATGTGACTCTAGCCAGTCAGGTTTTCAATAATGCTTTTGATCAGATTTTTGTGCTTTACTGGACAACCTTCCAGGATCTCCTGAGTTTAAAGCTGGTGCTTTTCAGGTGAAGTTGCTTTCACCTTTGCAGATTAATCATATTGAAAAGTTAAAAAATAGCACTTTCCCAGCAAGAACAAAAACTTTTAAACATTTAAATGTAATGAGGTAAGACTAGAAGACAGGTCAACTCTGAGACATTTAAGGAGTTCATGAAAGGACTCAGTTAATGAGACTGCATCTTGAAGATGTTCTGACAGCAGTGAACTAAAGAGGCCCTTTGTTTGGATTTTTGTTGGTTGGGGAATCAAGCTATTGAGTTGGCCAAAATGTTCATTCGGTTTTTCTGTGTCATGGCTTAATAGTTCTTAGTAGTCTTTAACTTCATTTGAAACAATTTTTAGATTGTATTGTGATAGCTGTCATATCAGTGTGCATTTTAAAAAAACTTACCAAACTTGGTGAATTTTTGTGTAGCCATTTTAATATTGAAGATGGATGAAAATAAGTGATATTTTTGGCATATTATGCTTTATTATTTCAAGAAAGGTAAAAACATAGCTGAAACACAATACATAGATTCGAGCAGTGTATGGAGAAGGTGCTGTGATTGGTCAAATGTGTCAAAAGTGCTTTGCGAAGTTTTGTGCTAGAGATTTCTTGCTGGATGATGGTCTACAGTAGGGTAGACCAGTTGAAGTTGATAGTGATCAAATTGAGAGATTAACTGAGAACAATCAATGTTATACCACATGGGAGATAGACAACACACTCAAAATATCCAAATCAATAAAGTTATTGGTGAAAATGAAAAGTGTGTATTTTATTTTACAGAAAAAAATCAAATGAACTTTTTGGCCAACCCAATATTTATATGCTAGGCAGGTGGAAGAGTTGAGGCTTAATTCTGCCTTACTCCTTTCCTGAAATATTCATAAACTCTCCCTTTATATGCAGCTTTTTGGAGCTATAATCCAAAGAATACTTAAATTCACAAGGTAAGCCCCCAAAAGTAAATTCTGTGTGTTGCCTGAAAGAAGACAAAAGATCTACCCTTCTTTTTATCCTTGAGACAGTTACTTGGTGTAGGGTAATTATCTTTTCAAAGTGAAGAAACCTAGAAGATTCCCTTAGGTGCAGCATGAAAAGATTATTTTACCTGAAATGTGTCCCTTGTGTTTTATTTCCCCCTGTCTAAGAGCATATTAATAGTCATGCCATAAGTCTCATGAAATGTGAGAGTTTTGTAAAAATATGTTCATAAAACTATAGCCAGTTTTCTCAGGCGATCAATGTTAAATCTTCTGATTTGCTTTAGTCTCCCTGTGTATAGTACTTGAGTTATGGCTAGTTTTTGACAGGGCTCTTTGGAGACCAGCAGTTTTCATTTGGATTTTGATAATTTAATGGACCAGAAATAATAATTCAGGTATAAAAGACATTCTCTCCTGCCTCTTTCAATTGTCTTTTCCATCATTTGTCCTCCTGCTTTTTACTGATTATTCTTTCTCATGAATAGATATGAAGACACGTCGGGATTATTGTTTGGTGCAGTGAATGTGTGTCTTTTAAACATTTAGGCTGTTGTCTGCTGCTTCTTGGAAACTATGGGAGTGACTCAATTTCCTTCTGTCTATTCCACTTCTTCTAAATTACAAGCTGGTAATTTTTCTCTTGTGTCAACAGTCATGGAATAGTAATTGCTTCTAAGGCATGCTACAAAAGCAAAATAGGAGAACCAAAGTGAAT